CTGTGTAGGGTGAAGATGTAACTTAACATCACTGTTATATGTAATTATAACACTGTGTAGGAAGATGTAACTTAACATCACTGATATATGTAATTATGACACTGTGTAGGGTGAAGATGTAACTTAACATCACTGATATATATATGTACTTTTAAGACAACCATTTTAATAAGGCTCACACTGTTACCTCTGGCTCTTTGTCACTAGGGGTGGATCCTAAACTTGTGGCACTGAGGTTGGATCCTTCATTATGGATCTGAGAACTGTTGCCTTGTATTGGCTGACCCTGAGATTGGCTGGTGTTACTAAGTGAAGTTTGAAGAGCAGTTACTCCACAAGTCTGAGATAGCCGTTGCTGATCAGCCTGGACCTGAGAGAAGTTAAACCCCTGAAATAATATGTAAATCTGGTTAATACCATTCAACATACACTAATTATATTATATAATCAACTTTTTAAAAACTATATCTAGAAGAAAGGTTCTTCCTCTTAACCAACACAGGTGCATTTATTACAATAGAAGTGTGTGTCATTGAGATATAAAGCACGAGAACAGTAACAGCAGCTTCAGTACTAAATATATTAACATCCTAATATCTTAGCTAAAACACAATTGTTTATGTTAAAAAGAAAAGTTACAGATATACAAGATATGATTTAAAGGAGTTGATTTGAACACGTCAAATTGGTTTAAATGAGATTTAATTTTGTACCATTACAGCGACTTATCTTCCTTATTAATAGATTTGTTTCTTGGTTAATTTTCGTCTATAATTTTTGTAGTTTCATCTTACTCTATTTCCCATGATCCTAGCTTCAAGAAGTTCTTGTTTACGAGGGTCCAGGTTTCCTTGCAAGTTGTCCATCACTGGTACTTCAAAGCTCTGTCTGCACGATCAAAACAAAATAATCGGTAATGAAGTCCACGAATAAATGACAAAGTGAATGCATTTTTACAGTACGTTAAAATACTGCACAAGTCGAGCTTCAAGTTTATTCTCTTATTTTTAAATTTATAATAGATGGCACACCATTTCTCTATTTCAAAATGTATGACAATAAACTATTACTTGTGTTATAATTACATATACAATAATACTTGTTTTGTGATCTGTTTTAGGTGAATTACAAATTTGGGCAACATGTTGTAGTGTCAGACTACAAATTGTTTTAAGAGTAAAGAAAACACTGACCTAATACAGAATACTACAGATAAATCTACAAAGGAGCCGTTACACTGTGTAACCGTAATGATTCAGACAACTTAGAAGTTAAAAATATCTAACAATGACTAGGTAAGACAGAATAATTAGTTTGTAAGTTAGGCTAATGTTCGGATGTTGTTTAGGCCTAGAGTTCAAATCAGGAACAATGTTTTTGGAAATTGTTTACATGTAAGACAAATTGTTGTTGGACCCATTATTCTTTTGTGATAAATAACAAGTTTTAAATACTGAAACATATTTACATTAAAGTATTAATTTTCATAAACAGACTATAAGTAATTCATCTGTTGTCTTTCCAACAATTAAATAAAACCTTAGATAATGATAATTTTAGAACAAAAATTACTGTGACATGATGAGCCTTTTGTATGTCTTCTATATGAAAACTTGAAGGCAGCCCTGAACATTTTTATGGAAATTTTAAAGATATTGCAATACTGACAAGTTCAGTTTGTTTTGAATTTCGTGCAAAGCTACACTAGAGCTATTTGCACTAGTCATCCCTAATTTAGAAGTGATAGACTAGAGGGAACACAGCTAGTCAACATCACCCACCACCAACTCTTGGGCTGCTCTTTTAACAATGACCAGTGGTATTGACCATCACATTATAATGCCCCCATGCCGGGATGTCGAGAGCCAGCCCAGGCCCTGGGGTCAGTAATATCATCGAGCCTCCCTTTCATTCTCTTTATTAACTTTTGATGATTTTTCATAAAAGAAATTTAAGTGACAAATTTCTTCATGAATCCATGAAAAAGTAGTAGCCATTTTAGCTCATTACGTAGTATGTATTTCTAGTGAGCTTTGGAATATTCCACTGCCAGAACCTTCAACAGAACCCGAGCCAGCTGCCTCCTTTGTCAGCCCTGTCCCCACGGCTGAAAGGGCGAGCATGTTCAGTGTGACAGGGATTCAAACCCGCAACCCTCAGATTGTGAGTCGAGCATCCTAACCACCAGGCCATATTGATAAGTAGAAATGGAAAGAAAAACAAAAGAATGAGATGGAAAAAGTTTAGAACAAAATAAAGAAGGTTATGATAAACTTACCAAAATGTTATTACAAAACAAAGAATGTTATGATAAACTTACCAAAATGTTATTACAAAACAAAGAATGTTATGATAAACTTACCAAAATTTTATAACAAAATAAAGAATGTTATGATAAACTTACCAAAATGTTATAACAAAATAAAGAATGTTATGATAAACTTACCAAAATGTTATTACAAAATAAAGAATGTTATGATAAACTTACCAAAATGTTATAACAAAATAAAGAAGGTTATGATAAACTTACCAAAATGGTGTAACAAAAAAAAGAAGGTTATGATAAACTTACCAAAATGG